CTGTTTTCTTTGTAAATTAAGCAGTCTTAGGTATTTCTTCATAGCAGTGTGAAAATGGACAATTTCCCTTTGACGGAAATTTGACTTGTAAAGATTTATGCTATAGAGATTTTCATATGAAGATGTATGCATAAGGATGCTGTGCTGTATGAAGAAGGGAAGACTGGAAACAACCTAAATGTACATCAATAAGTGACTAGTTAAATACGTTACTGTACCTACAAATAATGCATTGTTGTGTGATCATAAAAAAAAAAGAATAAAGTAGATATTTAGCTGTAGATATAGAATGAGCTCTACATTATATTGTTAAGAGGCTGAACAATATGCTGTTTACAGAAAATATGCTCTAGTTATATATAAAGGAAAAAGGATTTAAATTCACATTTGAACTTGGTAACACATTGAAAAATTGCAGAAAGGTAAGTAAAAAAATCCAAAGCTTGGCCAGGTGCAGTGGCTCATGCCTGTAATCCCAGTGCTTTGGGAGGCTGAGGTGGACGGATCACAAGATCAGGAGATAGAGACCATTCTGGCTAACACAGTGAAACCCCGTCTCTACTAAAAACACAAAAAATTAGCCAGGCATGGTGGCACATGCCTGTAGTCCCAGTTACTTGGGAGGCTGAGGCAGGAGAATCTCTTGAACCCGGGAGGTGGTGGTTGCAGGGAGCCAAGATCACGCCACTGCACTCCAGCCTGGACGACAGAGCGAGACTCAGTCTCTTTAAAAAAAAAAAAAAAAAAATTCAAAGCTTATACCATGGGAATGTTTTCCCTTTTTAATTTTTTAAAAAGGGTCTTTGACGTTTTGGTTATTCTATATTTTATTCAAAGTTACTTATTGCCAATAGGATTTTATTCATTTCTTAATAAAAGAAAACAGAAGCACTCCTGCTCCTGGCCTTTCTACTAGGCCCTTGTAATAGTTATCTTTACTCTTTCCTGTAGTAGAAGTGGGATTCTAGTGTTTTCTTCCTGGTCATGTTTCATTTCATACTGTGATATGTTCAAGTACCCAGCAAAGGAAATAAGCCCATAGTGGGCATTCAGTCAGCTTCTACGACATGTGTCAAAAGAGGCCTGGACACAGTGGCTCATTACTGATTTTCAGCACTTTGGGAGCCCAAGGCAGGAGAATCACTTGAGGCCAGTAGTTGGAGACCAGCCTGGGAAGCATAGTGACACCCCCATCTCTCAAAATAAATAAATTAGGCCGGGCATGGTGGCTCATGTCTGTAATCCCAGCACTTTGAGAGGTTGAGGCAGGCAGATCACCTGAGGTCGCAAGTTCGAGACCAGCCTGACCAACATAGAGAAACCTCGTCTCTCCTAAAGATACAAAATTAGCCAGGCATGGTGGTGCATGCCTATAATGCCAGCTACTCGGGCGGCTGAGGTAGGAGGATCGCTTGAACCCGGGAGGTGGAGGTTGTGGTGAGCCGAGATTATGCATTGCACTCCAGCCTGGGCAACAAGAGCGAAACTCCGTCCTTAAAAAATTAAAATAAATAAATAAAAACAAAATTAGCCAGGCATGGTGGTATATGCCTGTAGTCCTAGCTACTAGGGGGACTTGGGTGGCTGAGTTGGGAGGATTGCTTGAGCCTGGGAGTTAGAGGCTACGGTGAGCTATGATTAGGCTGAGCCACAGAGTGAGACCTTGTTTCTTAAAAAAAAAAAAGAAAAAAAAGGGAAAGAAATAAATGTGTAATTATTACTACCCTAAACTTTTTTTCACACTTTTGTGAGTCAGTTTCCCTTTAACCTTTGACTCATAACATAAAGAAGGTTAAGGCCAGAGTCCATCAATGGTTAAAAGATTGTGAGTGAGATGTATAAAAAATAGTACTGATGAATTCTGAAAGGGAAAACCTCATTCCCATTGCCTGGTTCTTGTGCATTGCAGTATTATCACAATATGGTATTCTTTTAAAGAGTTACGACTCTTTACATATACAGCAGATGAATGTGATTATTTATATGCGTATATTGGTTTACACACTGGTGTTCACTGGCTGCTTAAACTTACAAATAACCAAAGATGGCAGTAATGTTTTAAAGTGTAAAGCTGTGCTTCTTTGTTTATAAAATATGATGCTGAACATATTCTTTATTTTCTGATGCTGTCATTGCCTTCTTACTGTCTATTTACTCTTCTTGAGATGAAAATAAGTATGTAACAAAAAATAAATATAGCTTTTAAGATGAAAAAGCTCAAGTTTCATATGGAATATTTTTATATCGTTATTAAGGTAGCCAAACAGACTTTATAGTCCCATTGTAAGTATATATATAGTTGATGATTGTTATAGGTTTCAACTTGGCACCTTTTCTGTGTGCTCCCTTATTAAATCAATACTTATGTTCAAACATAAACTGAGGCAGAACAAGTTTCCTGTTCAATAGTTCTCACTTAAATTTTGTTTTGATTTTATTTCCAACTGTACTTAATAGCTGAAAGCTTCTTGTGGTTAGGAATAGTATTGGAGATTTTGGTGGAATCTAATTATTTTGAACTTTTAAGGCCTTAAAGAGGGAATTGTAAGGCCACAATACATTTTTCTAATAGCTTTCGTAGTCTGTTAGTCTGTGTTGCTTATTTTAGGGGGATGATGTCTAAATTGAAATGTTTATCCACTGTAGTTGTAATGATCTTTTTCAACTTCTTTAGAAAGCAGTTCATTGAGCGAAGAAGAGAGAATAAAAAGAAACATAAAAGGGTAATATGCATAGGACTTTTGAGCCTGTTACTATTTCCTAGCTAAAGTTTACTTAAAAAAAAAAAAAAAAAAAACGAGAGAACGTCTCAAAAAAAAAAAAAAAAAAAAAAGGGAGAGCCTAGGCATTGGGCAGAAACTGTGTGCACGTGTGTTGGAGGAGGAGGCGGGGTCTGCTCATTTGTTTGCCCATTGTGAGGCTGTCCTGCACCTTTGTGCTTTTTTGTAACAGGGTGAAGGCCCCTGAATAGAGGCCTTGTGCCCTGCTTGATTTGAAATCCATGCTGTTTATGGAAAGGAACCTGCAGGGCACCCAGCGGGAAGTCTGTGTGACAAGTGGAAATCTAGGATCTGGAAGAAACGTGGTGTTTGAGGGGGAAGGTGGTGGGGGGAATGGTCATAATCTTTCAGCCTTGCTTTTGTACCCCACAAGCTTAATTGTCACCCTCTGCTGGCAACCAGATTGCAGAGCCACTCTTTAAGTGTCCTTGGATTGCCTGTGCTTACTCTCACCTTATTGTTGTCAAAGAAAAACTGGACAAATAGGATTGAATTCTCTTAGAAAAATATGATATGAACTGGGTACATTACTAGTAGAGGTTAAATATCTGAAGGTTTTGTTTGTTTGTTTGTTTGTTTTTTGATAGAGATGTATTTAAAGGGAAGAATGGCTACATGGGAAAAGCTGGAATTATTGGCACGCTCCTGTGTTTCAGAGCCTGTTGAAAGGCAGGTTGCACCAACACTAGGCTGGTTAAATCTAGTTTGTACAGCTTGTGTACTTTGTGGTACCAGCTATTGGTCCAAAGTTTCCTGGCTTAAGAAGCCATGTAATTTTAAGTGTGCAAGAAAGGGGTGGGACAGCAGAAGCTTTTTATAGGATTTCAAGTAGTGAACATTAATTTTTAAAGCAATATTCCAGGGACTTAACAGAAGTAGAACTTGTATATGATGTTTCTTTAATGCCAGCACATATTTGAACTGACAAGGGAAGGGAGATAATTTTATTTTAAAGCACTATTTTCCATTCTTTTTTCCTCTTCAATTAGAAACTGGTTCTTCAACTTTCAGTGCCAATTGAGACATGCTATAATAGGTATTTAACAATTCTGTCCTGCTGTTTGACTTCAGGGGGAAATGGTGGTGGAATGTTTAGTAGCTGACATACACAGTTAGGTAGCTAGGGATCTGGTGTACAGTAAATGTGGTGTGATGTGGTGTTTGGGTCATATATGCTAATTATTTCAGCACAATGCTGAAGCCATGCAGAATACGGAAGAGTGTTTGACAGGATGCCAGAAAGGCCGTGCTAATTATGTTTATTGTCCCCATTCAGGTTTTTTGGGTGTGTTTTGTTCCCCACTGTTGTTTTCTTCTTTATGGTGGTTCTCTGAAAACTGTGCCCCATGAACATATGGAGTTCTGTAGATGAATGTTTATTGGTTTTGTACAGACCCCGGATTCTATGAGCTTAATAACGATTTATGCTGTTTTGTGGGTAATTGAGAGGACGTGTTAAGATATAGTTGATAGTAAGGTTTTTGTTACTATTTCCATTTTTTGAGGTAATATTAAAGACAGTTTGGCCAAAATCGGAATTCAACAATACAGAGAGCTTTTGGTTTGCTCTGGGTTCAAAGACAGTTTGGTTTGGCTACAGCTGACCTCCCTCCCCATTTTTATGAACTAGTCTTCTTCCTGCAAAACTCAAATACAGTACTTGGTATGGTCTCATAATAAATTTAGTTGTTAATTTTATATATATATATAAATGTATATATTGTTTATATTTCTGCTGTTAATGATTCACTGTTTTTTAAAATTTTTCTTTCTGATAATGTATTAAATTATAGCCATAACATATTTATGTCTGCTAAAATGTAACATTAGTTGTTGGTTGTGATAAGCTTTTGTTTTGTTCTGTTTTGTTTGACACAGGGTCTTGTTCTGTCACCCAGGCTGGAGTACAGTGGTGTGGTCAAAGTTCACTGCAGCCTCCACCTCCAGGCTCAAGCTATTCTCCCGCCTCAGCCTCCCAAGTAGCTGCACCACCACACTCAGCTAATTTTTTATTTTTGTAGAGATGGAGTCTCCCTACATTGCCCAGGCTGGTCTTGAACTCCTGGGCTCAAGCGATCTGCCTGCCTTGATCTCCCAACGTGCTGGGATTACAGGCATGAGCCACTGTGCCCAGCCAAGCTTTTGTTTAATTTTAGTTACTGAAGAAGCTTACAACTCATTGAGATATTTATGAAGTGCTTTGTGTTTGTGTTTTTTTAGGACATGTCTCAGGAAGGCTATGGAACTAGATCTCAACCTCCTCTGGCCCCCGGAAAACCTAACCATGAAGACTTGAACTTAATACAACAAGAAAGACCATCAAGTTTACCAGTAAGACATTATTGTGCTGATTTGGAATTGTGATGAGTTAAAGATTTTTAGAAAGAGCTGTTGTTTTTGTTTGTTCTACTTTATATTATGACATGATTGAGAAGTTTCTAGATTTCAGGTATATTTTGTGGTTAATTTTTCAGGGTTTACCTTTTAGGAGCTCTGTAGTCCTGGATAAGTCTATTTCATGTGTGTATATCTCTGTTGCAGAGTGTAGACATCAGTTGGAAGGTTTTATGCGGCTGGTCGATTTTGTGTGTGCAGGCGGTTATTGCTGTTGTACAGTTGAGCTTTCTTTAGGCTGTTGCTTTTTGGTAGTGATACAAAACAGAGGTGTCCTTATAGGAGTTAAAACTTAAAAGAAATTTGCACTTTGCAAAGGATACAAATAATGAGATAAAATATCTGATAGTAATTTGAATTTCTTCTAGGACTTTCTATTTACGTAATGAGAAATCCCCCAAAAGAAAGTAGTTTAAAATTTGAGGCCGGACGCGGTGGCTCACGCCTGTAATCCCAGCACTTTGGGAGGCCGAGGTTCGCGGATCACCTGAGGTCAGGAGTTCGAGACCAGCCTGACCAACATGGAGAAACCCTATCTCTACTAAAAATACAAAATTGGCCAGGCGTGATGGTGCATGCCTATAATCCCAGCTACTCGGGAGGCTGAGGCAGGAGAATCGCTTGAACCCGGGAGGCAGAGGTTGTGGTGAGCTGAGATGGTGCCATTGCACTCCAGCCTGGGCAACAAGAGTGAAACTTCATCTCAAAAAAGACAACAATAACAAAAAAATGACAAAACTGTTTATTAAGTATTTCCACCAGTAAATAGTATACGGTGATTGAGGTTTCTATTTATAGGAATAGTGGCTATTACATGGGGTATCGTGTTGATGCCCATAAATAGTTCATGTCTACTTAATTTGCCTTTTTTATAGAGAACCTAATTTAAAGGAAGTCTTCTTTATTAATGAAAAGAAAAAGTCTGCAGGAGGCTGAGGCAGGAGTATCGCTTGAACCCAGGAGGCGGAGGTTGCAGTGAGCCGAGATCCCACCACTGCACTCCAGTCTGGGCGACAGAGCGAGACTCTATCTCAAAAAAAAAAAAAGAATAAATCTGTACAAATAAATATTTTTAAATTTATTTGAAGGATTATTGTCATTGCCTAGTTTCTATGGAGAAGGTTTGTTTAAGATGGGAATTCAGGATGGCCATGATTTTAATTGGAATTTCAACTATGTTTGCATTAACTTAGATTTATTATATTACTTCTAAACATGAGAACAAACATTTGTAGTGAATGTTATACATGACATTTGACGTGCATACCATACCATATACATTTTGATGTATATGCAGATTTAGAGAAGGTAAGTGATGACCACAGGATGTCTCCTGTCTTTGAATCTGATGGATGTATTTTTGAAACTCTAATTTTTATACCTTTTAGTTTTATGTGAGAGAGGGTGAAATCTTATTGTGGCGTTTTTCCCCCATTTTAGTTGTGTTGATGTATTTATTGTCTAGGTATTTGGTTTTGAAGGAGGGAAGTAGGGTTGGATTTTGCGTTTTATGCTGCTAAACTTTCTTCAGCAGATAGTTCACAGCCTAGTAAGCATGTAGTGTGTCCGCGTGAGAGAGAGAGAGGGAGGAGAGAGAGAGAGGCATGCATGCTGTTGATAAATACTACATTTACTACATATTTGGAAATTAGCTTTTGTGGCTCTATGAAATTTAAAATAGATGCATGGGAGCCAGATGAACAGTGAATTCCAGTTTTTTCACCAGTTTTTTAGTGTTTTTGTAGAAGCTCGACCTTGTAGATTTGTCACTGGCTGATGATATTGTACTGTGACACAGGTTGGTAAATTTGTCATAAATGGATGCAGATTTTCTGCATAGCTGTAAGAATACTTTGTGGCAAACTGCTTTCTTCATATCTACTCAAAAACTTCAGCATCACTCACTAGTAGATGCCTTTTGCCATGAATCTGTGTTGGAATGGATGGTTGACATTCAGCTAATTCTACAGTGTTATTAGGGATGCCATGAAGTATTGTAGTTTCAGATAACTGACTGAAGAGTTTGCTCTGGGATAGGAGCTTTTAACTAGATTGCTGGAAAAGTGGATGAAAGCATTTAGGAGATGAATATAGTCATCAACCGTTTAAATGTTTTCTGAATTGTTCTATTTCTATCTTGTTGTGTATGTGTAACAGCTATCTTCTTTAACCTTTATCTTGCCTACTTCCCAAAAGTATTTAAAGTTGTCCTAATGTAAGTTTTTTTGTTTTTTTAATGAAATACCCCTATTGGTATTTTCTTTCTGTTTTTGTAACTCACAGATAAATAAGATGCTGGTTGACTCAGTAGTTCTTCAAGCACATTTCAGTAATCTCTTTTTAGAGAACAGAGTTTCCAGGTTTTATGTTAAGTGTGTGGAAGATTCAGTCACTGAATAAAGGACAAACTGTAAGATAACCTGCTATACCTGAAACCCCCAATCTGTTAGGATGAAATTTGGCTTTATTTAAATGAAATATATTACACCAGTTTTTTTGTTTTCCACAAGGGCTTTGCATGTGTAAAAACTTTCTATATGGGGCTTACAAATATTTTTATTTATGTGGATACTTATAATTAAGTTGCACACAGCTGAGGTCATTGTGGTTTCAGGGAATGATTTGTTGATACTCTGTTATGGCTCTAACAGTCTGTATTTTACAGTGTTGCTTTTATTAGATACTGTAGTCCTCTAACTTGGCTGGGTTGATTGTGGAGAGCCCATAAAGCTGTATTTGTTATCACATCTGAATTTGCTATTGGATCCTTTGTAGATTTACTCTTGTGTTCTGGTTTTCCTTTTCAGGTGTCAGGGATGTAAATTTTATCTTTTCACCTAAAGTCAATCCATGATATTTGAAACCTGTAGTTTTGTAATTTGGAATTAAGTGTATTGTGTTATCTGTACCGTTTATGAAATGCAGCATAGTGATTCTAATGTGTAATTATTCTATTCATTTTATATAATGACGATGACAAGAATGCCTCTCAAGTAGTAATTTCTTAGTCTTTTTGCTTACATTGAGATAGGTTTGTTATATGTTTCTGCATGTGACATTTTCTACCTGTATCCTAAGTATATTTTTCTTTTAGCATGTTTGTTACAACGTAACAACTTTCCATTATAAGAAATCAAGGCATTTCCAGTATCTTTATGCTACATCTATCATTTGATCCCTCAGCAAGTTGTCCTCACTGTTGTTTGATCCTGTTTTTCTATATTTGCATGTCATTAAATTCTTCATGACCTTCAGTAGGCAATGCAGTTCTGTTTTCCAGCTAACTTGGATAGATCTTCACATCATCTGCAGAAAGCAAATGATTGATAAATTAATAACTTGTTCTCTTGTTGTCTTGGGGCCATGACCAGTCATATTTACTTTTTGCTTAGTGGACTCAGACCTAAGCTCTGAACAAATCCTCCTTAATATTGTCCACTTATTTCTATACCTCTTAGTCATACAGCATTTCCCTGTTGAGGTATATTAGTTTATACATCCTTGGTATTACTGCTATTAATGAATCTTAACGTTGAAGAGCTCTCTTTCTTAGACTATTATCACTTAAAATTTGAGCACATTTAGCTTTCACAACCTCTAATATTGGTATGAAATAAACCCAGCATTTAAGCTACAGACACAGTGGAAGGTCTAAAAGATGCTGTCACTTACTTAATTTCTTGTTTCATAAACATTGCATATCCCTCAATTTATGTTTCAAGATAGCCCTCAAATATGGGTTTAATACACTTTTTGTTGAATGTTCAGTTAAATTTTCACCTCTTGTGACATTTATTATTTATCCTTTTATTATAGTTATCCTGAACATTGTTTTGGCTCCCCTGTTTGACTGGAAGCTTTTCGTGGTATTTATTATGTCCTGTTCAGTAAATATTTTCCTCAAAAATTTCTATAAAAATGATTTTTAAATAAATTGACTTCCTCAGTTTCAGAATTTTCTTTTAATTGCTAAGGGGTCTGTTAGGTGGCATTGAATGGCCCCCGGGGCACCTGTGCTCTCTTTGTGCTGGTGCTGCTGAGTGATTAAATGGGTGGACGTCTGCATCGCCAGGCGTGTATTATTCTTCAAATGATTCTATTTTACCAAGTGATGTTTGGATTTACCTTGGTTACCATAGCTTTAAGAAAAGAAGTGGACACTTTGGATAATTAAGCTAAAAATACCCTGAAAGCATTCTGTTCTTAGTAATACATATTTTTTACTTATAAAAAATTAATTGACAGAAATGGTAATCATAAGTTCAGTAATTATATTACAGATGGATAGTTAATAAAATATTCATAACCATGTATAAAAGGAAGTAAACATGGAAAAGGAAGAAGTTTTATTTTCTTATAAAACACTATATAAGCACTTTCTTATAGTGCTTTTCCCTCCAGGGATCTGAAGAGTTGTTAATATTCCTCAGTTTAGAAATAACTAATTTGTTTTATTCTTCAGAGAGGCATGCTGCTAGCTTTGTATTTCAGATAGGAGGTTCATTATTCTGTTTACCTAAGATACAGAATACAATCAGTTTGGCCGTCATATTCTAAGAGCGTTTGAAAATGGACTGCTTTGTTAGGACTTTGTAAAATATGTCTATAAATATGGGCTATTCTAGAAGGCTCATCAGGTCATTAAAAACCTTTTTGTGACCCTTTCTTCCTTAAATAGGAAATATCTAAAGAGGTTGACATGAAAAGGGTTTGATCTTTCTGAGTTAACTAAAAATCCCTAAATGTGTCGAATAGTGCTTATGGCACTTTTGTTGAGTTTGCAATTAGACGGAAATATTGGGCTTTAGATAAAGCATATGTTTTTTGGCTCTTTGTGAAAGGAAGGAGGTAGTAAATGCTGGTCGTTCTTTGAAATAGAGGGTGTTAAACAGGATATTGAAAGCCTGAAAGAGAATGGTTGGAAAACTTTTATTACC